TGGGATAGTACTGGGCAACAGTATGTGGGGCCCATGTGGTTCTAGTTTCATGGGCCCAACATGGGAAGCCCATGTGGGCTGACCACATTGAACCCACATGACATCAGCATGGGCTGACCATATATGGGTTAGACCTGGGTGTGGATATGTGGGCCCCAGTCCTTTTTTAAGTGGGCTATCTGGGAATGGGATAGTACTGGGCAACAGTATGTGGGGCCCATGTGGTTCTAGTATCATGGGCCCAACATGGGAAGCCCATGTGGGCTGACCACATTGAACCCACATGACATCAGCATGGGCTGACCATATATGGGTTAGACCTGGGTGTGGATATGTGGGCCCCAGTCCTTTTTTTAAGTGGGCTATCTGGGAATGGGATAGTACTGGGCAACAGTATGTGGGGCCCATGTGGTTCTAGTATCATGGGCCCAACATGGGAAGCCCATGTGGGCTGACCACATTGAACCCACATGACAACAGCATGGGCTGACCATATATGGGTTAGACCTGGGTGTGGATATGTAGGCCCCAGTCCTTTTTTAAGTGGGCTATCTGGGAATGGGATAGTACTGGGCAAAAGTATATGGGGCCCATGTGGTTTCAGTATCATGGGCCCAACATGGGAAGCCCATGTGGGCTGACCACATTGAACCCACATGACATCAGCATGGGCTGACCATATATGGGTTAGACCTGGGTGTGGATATGTGGGCCCCAGTCCTTTTTTAAGTGGGCTATCTGGGAATGGGATAGTACTGGGCAACAGTATGTGGGGCCCATGTGGTTCTAGTATCATGGGCCCAACATGGGAAGCCCATGTGGGCTGACCACATTGAACCCACATGACATCAGCATGGGCTGACCATATATGGGTTAGACCTGGGTGTGGATATGTAGGCCCCAGTCCTTTTTTAAGTGGGCTATCTGGGAATGGGATAGTACTGGGCAACAGTATATGGGGCCCATGTGGTTTCAGTATCATGGGCCCAACATGGGAAGCCCATGTGGGCTGACCACATTGAACCCACATGACATCAGCATGGGCTGACCATATATGGGTTAGACCTGGGTGTGGATATGTGGGCCCCAGTCCTTTTTTAAGTGGGCTATCTGGGAATGGGATAGTACTGGGCAACAGTATGTGGGGCCCATGTGGTTCTAGTATCATGGGCCCAACATGGGAAGCCCATGTGGGCTGACCACATTGAACCCACATGACATCAACATGGGCTGACCATATATGGGTTAGACCTGGGTGTGGATATGTGGGCCCCAGTCCTTTTTTAAGTGGGCTATCTGGGAATGGGATAGTACTGGGCAACAGTATATGGGGCCCATGTGGTTTCAGTATCATGGGCCCAACATGGGAAGCCCATGTGGGCAGACCACACTGAACCCACTGTGGGTTCAGTGTGGTCAGTACATATCCACGCCCAGGTTGGACCTGGGTGTGGATATGTAGACCCCAGTCCTTTTTTAAGTGGGCTAAATGAGACAAAATTGTAGAACAATGTACAGGGGTTGGACAATGAAACTGAAACACCTCTTATTTTAGAGTGGGAGGTTTCATGCCTGAATTGGACTAGCCTGGTGGCCAATCTTCATGAATTGCACATTGCAACAGTAAGAGCAGAGTGTGAAGGTCCAATTAGCAGGGTAAGAGCACAGTTTTGCTCAAAATATTGCAATGCACATAACATTATTTGGGACATACTGGAGTTCAAAAGAGGGCAAATTGTTCACCAAGACAGCAAGTCTTTGTGATTATCAAGAGCCACAGTATCCAGGGTAATGTCAGCATACCACCAAGAATGACGAACCACATCTAACAGGATTAACTGTGGATGCAAGATGAAGCTGTCTTAAAGAGATGTTTGGGTGCTAACCTGGATTGTATCCCAAAAACATAAAACCACGGTGCCCAAATCACGGTAGAATTAAATGTGCACCTCAACTCTCCTGTTTCCACCAAAACTGTCCGTCGGGAGCTCCACATGGTCAATATACACAGCCGGGCTGCTATAGCCAAACTTTTGGTCACTCGTATCAATGCCAAACGTCGGTTTCAATGGTGCAAGGAGCGAAAATCTTGTGCTGTGGACAATGTGAAACATGTATTGTTCTCTGATGAGTCTACCTTTACTGTTTTCCCCACATCCGGGAGAGTTACGGTGTGGAGAAGCCCAAAGATGCATTCCAGCCAGAGTGTTGTATGCCAGAGTGAAGCATGGGGGTGGATCATTGATGGTGTGGGCTGCCATATCATGGCATTCCCTTGGCCCCATACTTGTCCAAGACGAATTGATGCTGTATTGGCCTCAAAAGGAGGCCCTACACCACGCTAATAAGTTTTGTGGTCTAAAACCAGGTGTTTCAGTTTCATTGTCCAACCCCTGTAGTTAACCTGTCACTTTCAAAATTTTGACTGTATGTCAAAGCAAAAGCTGCAAGAGCAAGATTCTCAAAACTTGGAAAGAATTACCCGAGATGTCAGCTTTATAGTCTTTGCCAAGGCAATTGTTACTCAGCTGGCCTCTAATGGAGTTGATGTAAGGTAAATTGTAGAATTTAATTTTTTCCTTGTAGGAAACCTCGACGATAGTAAAGGTTGGTGACCTTGACCATTGTCGAGGTCTCCAGGACGAAGGTGACCTCGTCTTGGAGATCACCCAAGGATATATTTTGCTGATAGAACAGAACATCCATGTCTTCCTAATGTTTGAACCTAAAACATGTTCACTGTGTGATATCTATGCCTGGCTCATTTACAAACACTAGGCTTCCAGAGGACCAGGATATTAAAACATTAAAAATAATTCTACAATGCTTTATTTTTTTAAACCAGTTCAGTAGTATTGCTCTAGCCACACTTTGAACCCTTAACATTTTTTCATGTTATTATTTTATGCTAGAACAGTCCAGTCCAGTCTCCAAGCCAGTACGCATGAGTGGGCCCCCCTTGGGTTTGTAGTAGGCCATATGGGTAATGAGTGGTCATGGGTTTTATCTGGGCAAACCTCATGGGACACATATGGTTAACTAAAATGGGACCCCTATGGGCTGGCCCATTTGGGCTAAATGTATGGGCCCTATTCAGCAACAATGTGGGCTAACTGGAAATGGGACAGAAATGGGCAACACTATTTGGGGCCCATGTGGTTTCAGTATCATGGGCCCCACATGAGAAGCCCAATGTGGGCTGTCCACATTAAACTAACATGACATGAGCATGGGCTAACCATACATGGGTTGGACCTGGGCAGGAAATGTAGCCCCTAGTACTTTTTTTCATGGTCTAAATGGGACAAAATTGTAGAACATTTTAATCGACAATGTGGTTACCCTGTCACTTTCAAACTTTTCACTGTATGTCAAAGCAAAAGCCAGTTCAGTATTGCTCTTGCTACACTTTGAACCCCTAACTTTTTTTTCATTTTATTATTGCAGTCTGAATGTCTTAAAACATTTTTTTGAAATAATCTGTTTGAAATATATACGTAAACTCATATTCTGGTGCTTACTCAAAATTAAGCACAGAGTGGTCATGGTTGAGCTTTAGTCCTTGTTTTATTTTTAATAATAATAACTTTTTATTTTATTTTTATTATTATTTTTTATCAATTGGATGTTTAGACATCCATAGAGTTTACTGCAGCCTGTTCGCAGCAAGATTTAAATTTTTATTTGGACAAATAGTTCAGATCAGACCATTGTGAAAAATATCACAAAATGTTTAGAAAATAAACAAAACTCATTAGCAAGTGAGAGACAAGAGTAAAATTTTGAGCATCTGTTTTTTCATATATTTGCAAACATTTTCCAAGTCATCAGTATAAATAAAAATAAAAAATAAAAAAACGTAACATTTCTGTTAATGATTCATTTGGTTCCAATTACCTTTTTGTTCATTGTTTGCTCTGAGGCACCGTTGCCAATAAAGGTTGGTGAATTGAAGTACCGGTAGGCACTTTACACATCCACTGAAGAAAATAGTTCCAAAACATATTTGAATAAGGAGGACAACGAAATGTATTTATTTACATTGAGAACTTTTGCTACATCGGTTTTACATTTGTTAAACCGATGTAGCACTCTCAAAAATTAATCTTGTGTTTCTTGGAAAACGTAAAATGACCCGCGGATGGATATGGGGTTTCAAAATCAAGCCTGTTCTCTTCATCAGTCCGTTGGCGCGGAGTCTGCCTGTTGGCTGATCTACGAAAGAATCTGTAAGTACATTTCTTCTGTTTTACCTAGTACCAAATTTTAGGGAGAGATTTTAAATCGCTTGTTAAAAAAATTGTTGCTCGTAACAAATCGGACGACAGTATCCCAAAAGAGACTTAATTGTTATTGTTATTTTTGCTTTTCTTTAGGGTGATACTTTTTCTGATATTGCTAACACACACAGCTACACACAATAAGCAGATTTTAGTGCAGACCGATTTCAAACGCAGCGTTGTGGGCCAAACCATTTTCAAATACCGCCGCCATTCTATTTGTTGAGCTGCCATTGGTTCATTTGAGCGCCAACGAGGCAGAATGAAATCGGTTCACTGAAGAATCTATGTTGCTAGCAGAGGTTGTTACAAAGTGTCTGGACACAATAAAACCATTTGTATGATTTAAAAAGAGTAACTATTGTGCTTTCATTCTATGTACTTGGGCTTTTAATAATCTTTCTCACAGTCACATCAGCATGCATGGGTGGGTCTCATGTATGGATTCAGGCTGGTTTGGCTGGGACCCATGCAAGATTATTATTGTCGTTTTTTTCAATAAAACTGCATTGAATCGTTTAGCTTTGGCCTATATAGGTAATGATAAGAGGGCATGGGTTTTATCTGGGCCAACTGCGTGAGGCTCAAAAGGTTAACCGAAATGGGACCCATATTGTTGGCTCAATTGGGTTAAATGTATGGGCCCAATTCAGCATTAACGTGGGCTAACTGGGCATGGGACAGAAATGGAACACTATATGGGGCCCATGTGGTTTCAGTATATTGGGCCTAAAAGGTTTTTTGTAAATAGGATGAAGGCATTGTAGTTCATATTTTTAAATTCTTTTTTTAATTGTTGTGTGACACTTTAAAGCGTTTTGTTATGTCAGAGTTTATTTCAATCTGCCGCTATTGTGTTGGTCTAGAGTAGTCATCAGTGTCAGGGTTCCTGTGTGTGTATGTGAGTGCGAGTGTCGCATCTTATTTCAGCGAGGATCTTTGTGAGGAGCCCATGGAGCTTGGCACAGGTGGAGGAGCAGCAGAATCTTCAGTCTACGCTAGATTGACTGAAGATTCTACTGGTGTATGCTAGATGGTTGCATACACCGGTAGTCACTCTGGCCTCTCCTGTTGTGAACAGTTTTCTGAGAACGTTTCTGTGTCTACTAGAAGTCACCTGGTCTCTGTGTTTGTTCGATCCTAGGGGTTTTGTCGCCTCATTCGAGAACTCACCAGTGAATACCTGCCTGCTCGCTCCGCCGATTCCACTGCCTCCACTCCACCCTTCGAGTTTCCAGCTCTCTTCCATTCCCACCTCGCATTTACCTTCGGAACCGCTGCACACCCTCTCTCAGGAACCTGGCATCTCACACCCACGCCTCGAAAGACCCGCACCGAAGTAAGCCTGTTCCTGTTTCCCCTCCGATCACTCATTCTAAGCCCGTCATAACTAAGTTCTCGTTTCAGGCCAACCTGGTCGAGTGGTCCTCACCCTTCCGCTGATGTCCGGGAAATAGATTTTATTTTGTCCTGTTGTAAATAAATCACTCACTCATCCCTATCCAACGTGTGGTTACTGCATGTGGGTCCGTAAATTGAAACCCATCATGTCAATCAGTGGCCAAGCCTGAAACAAATATTGAAAGATGAAGAAATTCTTTTTGATATTTTTGCAATATTTAGCTAGCAGTTATGTGAAATGTACTTATATTTAATTGTAGCTCTAATTTTTTTATATGTACAATGTTTTAGGCTTTATTAGTTACATTTATAGTGATTTTCTAAACTTCTCTTAAGAGTAATACTACTGTCTTAGTCCTGTCACGTTAACAAAGAAATTAGGATAATTGCAAAACTGTTCAGTGTTTACAATATAAGGCTTCAGTAGTTAATCTATACAAAGGCTGTTTTGCCTTAATTTTTTTATTTTTTTGAAAAGTCTAAATGTTATATTGCACTAATAACATATATATTTTTGCAGGCTTCAAGAGGATCAGCGTGTGAAGATCACTTTATAATGATTTGAAAAAGGTAGATTAATATGTTAGTGAAATTAAGCACATAAGAGTGATATAATGACAAACTGATGAACAAAAACAAAATGTTGTCCTGTTATTGTCATTGTACTTAAGGTTGCCATGGCTACAGAAATTGGAGGAGCATCCTTAGATGACACAATACAACCAGCTGTGCGATTCCTCATGTCCCATGAACTGGAAGTCCAGTTCAACCTTTTTGGCCAACATTGGAACAAGCTCTTGGACCTGCGTCTCTTTGATGTTTGTATGGTAAATATCAGTTTTTATTGTCAGAGTAACTTTTTTTTCACTTTTCTTTCTTAAACATATGTTAATTTATTTTGGTTGTTTTATGCTTTTGTTTGTTATTTTTAGTAATGTTTTTAGGTTAAAAATTGAGTCTTCAATTTTTGGTTTTATTTGAACAGTATTCTTTCACTGTTGTTAAGAACTTAAAAATTTGAAGGTAATATTGTTTGCATTTCAAACAATATTAAAATAACCACAAAACCACGATAGAACCTAGTAGTTGATTTATATAGATGGATATATTTTAAATTTACAGTAAGAATATAGTTTCTGTACATAATAATGATGACTCAAGAGTCCTTTTGATTATGGCATATCTCTGCAAGCATTTTTGCCCCATGAAGGGGGAGATGCAAATCTCATGAATGTTACATTGTGCTAAAATGAAACACTAATACAATTTCTACCTTTGCTTGTTATTTCAGGGGACTTAAAAGAAATTATCCATCTACAGAATCACACAAGCATACAGCAAAGACTCTCGAAGTGGTTTACTGGAGCCCGAGTGGAAGTGGAAATAGACTAGAGAGACTGCCAGTTCAAACTCAGGTTGGGGAGGTCTTTCAAGATGGACAGTTTCAGTAAAGTATGAGAGATTTCAAATTTAAGCATGCATATGGCATGTAGGTTATTTTTAAAAATGTTTAACAAAAATGTATTGTGAAAGATCTATATAGGTGTGTATATTCACATTGTGTGTATCAATGTGAATATACGTGTATAAAGTTATATAGATAGTATTTAGATGTATACATTTATAGACCTGTAGGAAAATATGTAGGTGTCTTTATTTGTGTGCATCTATAGATATATATTTATAGATCTGTTTATAAGTTTGTTATAGTAAACTAGCTTCTGTTATTTTCAAAGATGTCGTGAATAATTGCAGATTTCTTTTTGTGGCACCATTCCCCTGAGTATTAATGAAGTTCTAATAATTGCTGTAGTGAGGTAAAAAATAACTCCTGACAATATTTTAAATTACTAAATAAAAGCCTTGAGCAAAATAAATTTTTCATCTCTTTTTTTTAATTTTTTATTTGAACACGTTTTAAGCTGGACTTTGGATTGTTGATCAAGATTGCATATCTATGAATGTAATTCACATCCAGGTTAGATGAGAATTGTTCCTACAGGATTAAGGCATCTGGGTCCGCTGAAAGCCCAGTCAGCACCATTGAAATCAACCTGGGCAAACCCATGTGGGGCCACCATGGAAACCGTGGACAAACCCACTTGTTACCCATATTCTAGCCCAGTTCAGACCCAATTGGGACCCACGTAAATATTCCTGACAGCACCCTAGTGGGCCACAGATGGGCCCACTAGGGTGGGCCCATGTGGGGCCACCATGTGAGTTAACCACATGGGCCCCACTGAAAGCCCAGTCAGCACCCATTGAAATCAACCTGGGCAAACCATGTGGGGCCACCATGGAAACCGTGGACAAACCCACTTGGTACCCATATTCTAGCCCAGTTCAGACCCAATTGGGACCCAGGTAAATATTCTTGACAGCACCCTAGTGGGCCACAGATGAGCCTCATGTAAGTTAACCACATGGGCCCCACTGAAAACCCAGTTAGCACCCATAAAAATTTACTTGGGCAAACCCATGTGGGGCCACCATGGAAACCGTGGACAAACCCACTTGGTACCCATATTCTAGCCCAGTTCAGACCCAATAGGGACCCACGTAAATATTCTTGACAGCACCCTAGTGGGCCACAGATGGGCCTCATGTGAGTTAACCATGTGGGACCCACTGAAAACCCAGTCAGCACCCATTAAAATCAACCTGGGCAAACCCATGTGGGGCCACCATGGAAACCGTGGACAAACCCACTTGGTACCCATATTCTAGCCCAGTTCAGACCCAATAGGGACCCACGTAAATATTCTTGACAGCACCCTAGTGGGCCACAGATGGGCCTCATGTAAGTTAACCATGTGGGACCCACTGAAAACCCAGTTAGCACCCATTGAAATCTACTTGGGCAAACCCATGTGGGGCCACCATGGAAACCGTGGACAAACCCTTTTGGGACCCATATTGCCTGCCCACTTATATCCCATATGGGGCCCACCTAGGTGTGCTGGCTGGGTATGTACTGATATAAAATTCAGTGTGAATAGTCTGAATAGTGCCATGTTCATAGTGGAGAACCGCAAAGCCAACATCAAGTTTCTGAGTGTTGGGATTTTAAACACTGAAAATAGGCAAATGTTTCAAGATAGATTGAGGAACTTACCATATATCCATCCGATTGCTATGGATTGACACACTGAAAGTAGGAGAAGATTATTGCCACTGCAAACATAGTGATCAAAGAGTTGCAGGAAATATAAGCCCCCCTACAGGAAGATGAAAGGCTCACCGTTAGGTCAAATACAAAAGCAGAAGACTCAAATGTCCAAATTATCAGTAACTCACACTTCCAAACAGCAAGTTTAGTTATCGGATTGAGTGTGAACTCAGAGTTCTCACCTCTGTGACGAGGAGGAGGCCAAGAAAGAAGCAAACAGCGCAGAGACAAAGCAACAGCAGTTCTCTGCGATAAGCTCTTCGAAACACAGAGGGGAACATATCTGTCACTGAGGTCATCAGGCACTCCAGGCTCACAAACTTATGAGACAAATACACAAATTAAAAACTAACACACGTCACCAGATCGAACTAATATCAGACTTTTTGACTTTTTAATTCAGACAAAGTTGGGATAACGGTGTGGGGGGCGGGGGGCGGATTTCAGACATCACATGTATTGCTTTTCCATCAGACATCGAGATGAGCTGTGCAACACAGATGGACACATTGAGAAGGTTTCCTGTCCATCTGAAGGACAAATGGTGTGATGAAGTGAGGTATCTGACCTGTGTTTACTATTCTTACCTTAACAGTTTATTTTCTTATGTCATGCACTCAGTTGTACTTTATGTCAGCACACATTAAAAGAAAAAATGAGCAGAGTGCTAAGCATTGGAGCCAGCAAGCAGTGAAACAATCCAGGTTTGCTAAATAAATAAATTCATTGGGATATTGTTAACATTTTACCTGTGTGTCTGCACCCAACAAGATGACCATGACAAAGAAGCAAACAGCCCACAGCTGAGGCAAAGGCATCATGGCTACAGCACGAGGATAAGCAATGAATGCCAAGCCGGGTCCTGTTGGAATTAGTGCAGCATATTAAATGCAGAACAAAAAAATAACTGTCATTTTCACCCTACTTACTGGAAACATAAAGTCAACAATGAGCTGCAAAACTGGCAATAAGTAGCTTACTGAGTATGTGCTTAAGTTTCTCTCTCTAAATGTCTGAATATATTTATTGGGACCTACACTAAAACCATTTAATATGTAATTTCAGAAATATTATTCTAGAAATGTTTGAGTTCAGCATATTTAAAATGTAACTTTCCCAAACATGTTCAAACCATAATGTTCCCTGAAATCAACAAACGCAACAACCATTGTGTCCTACATATTAAATCAAAGTGGCACTGATGACAGGTGTGTTACATGTTCAAACAAAAGCAGACATCTTACCAGAAGCAGCCACCTGGGATATTGGTAGTCCTTGTTCATATGACATAAATCCCAAAACAGAAAAGATGGCGAACCCTGCCACAAAACTAGAGCCGCCGTTCACCAGACACAGCACAAACGTGTCCCTGGGAATGCAGACCAAAATATTTCTCATGTTTGAAAATAAAACTAAATAGAAGAAAAACATTTATAAAATCCACAGAAAATATGTTTTACATCTGATGTTTTAAAGTTTATTGTAACGTTTAAAATGTGTTTTCAGCTCTAACAATTTCATGTTTAAAATTATACAGTTTATTAATGAAAATAAAGAACATTCAAGTTGCTTTCCCAAAACAGCTTTGTTCACTTCCTTTGCAGCCGTTGCTAAAGTTACGGACAGAGTAGTAATCTGGAAATTTTGCAAAAATATTTAGAAAGTTTGAAAAATTAACTGCAGAGTAGCAACCTATAAGTTCTGCCAAATAAAAGCAGCTTTGCAGACAAATAAATTACCTTAATCTCCTCTCTACTACATTCTTATAGCACAGTATTATTATTTTGAATAAAATTGTACATTAAGATTTGTTTAATGTTGTAAATACCAGGAATCCAACTTGATTTAAAAGACACGAGGCATTACAACTTTGCTAATTTGCCAAAGACAGGTTTCTTCCAAATTAGTAAAACAGAACAGAAGAACAATAACTAGGGAATTAAATGACTAAATGCAAAAGTATTGCACTTACTTGTAACAATCGTTGTTATACTGATTGTAGCTTCCCAGAGCTGTCAGACTCCCCTGACAAATGCCAAAAGAGAAAAGGACCTGTGCGCCTGCATCCATCCAAACCTACACAGACATCAGCACAGCATCAGTGAAAAAGCACTTCAGAAACTTCTGTGAAAGAGGAAGTCTGTTGCATCTAAGGTGTTTATTTGGCTCAGACTGCCACTGGAAGCAACCAAGCTGGGAGCTTTTCTTTGTTTTTGAATTTATTACTTACTTGAGGGTCCACCAACCTTGTTGGATCAGGATATAGGTAGAAAGCCAAGCCATCTATCGCTCCTGGCAACGAGAGCCCACGGGCCAACAGAACGACTAACATCACATAGGGAAACGTGGCAGTAAAGTAAACTACCTGTCAACACAAACGTACGCATCAGATTGTGCGTGAAACACTGGAAAACACAGAATTTAACAAATTTTTCAAGAACAATTAAGCATTACAAGTGTTGTTTTTATGTTAACAGAAATTGTGCAAGTATTTTGCACCAAATTTATGAAACTATAAAGCAATAAATATTTATGGAAAATCACCACACCTATCAGCGTGTGTGAAATTCCCTTAAAATTAATGTAACAGCACTGACATTTTTGCATTTT